TTTTTTTTTTTCTTTGCATCTGCATTTTTTCAAAACACCTCATACTTCTGCAAAAAACATAAATTCATTTCTTAAAAAATACAGGTAAACTCACGGACCATATATCTCATGATAAGAAATGACAAAAAAAAATTCCTGCTTTTCTTTGTACTTTTTTTTTTAATTTTTTTTAAATCCAATTTTATTTTTGATTTTTTGAAAATCCTAAACAAAGTCGGATTCAAAAACAAAAACTATGGGGTTGTAGGGCTTAAAATTCCCTACAACCCCATATTTGTTTTTGTTTTTTTTACCTATTATTTAATTCATGAAAATTCGTGTAAAATTTGGTCCACGGTGCGGACCAGGTAGGCCGAGGATGCGGACCCATTTGGGTCCGCGATCCGAGCTCGATCCCGCGGACGCGTCCGCGGGTGTTACATAGCTTGGAGTGGCTCTATGGGTAGGTGTTTGGAGTGGCTCGGTGTATAGGTGCTTCCGNTCTGAGCTCGATCCCGCGGACGCGTCCGCGGGTGTTACATAGCTTGGAGTGGCTCTATGGGTAGGTGTTTGGAGTGGCTCGGTGTATAGGTGCTTGGAGTGGCTCGGGGTGTAGGTGCTTCGAGTGGCTCGGTCGGTAGGTGCTTGGAGTCGCTCGGTTGGTAGGTTCTTGAGTGGCTCGGTCGGTAGGTGCTTGGAGTTACCGAGTCAGTTGGTGCTTGGAGTGGCGGGGTGGGTAGGTGATTGGAGTGGCTCAGTGGGTACGTGCTTGTAGTGGCTCGGTCGGAAGGTGCTTGAAGTGGCTCGGTGGGTAGGTGCTTGGAGTGTCTCGGTGGGTAGGTGTTTCGAGTAGCTCGGTGGGTAGGTGCTTGGAATGGGTCGGTGGGTAGGTGCTTGGATTGGCTCGGTAGGTAGGTGTTTGGAGTGGCTCGGTGAGAAGTTGCTTGGAGTGGCTTGGCATGTAGGTCCTTGGACTGACTTGGTTGGTAGGTGCTTGGAATGCCCAGAAAAAAGACATTGTAGGTCAAAATTAACTGTTGGTACTTCGACTGCTACAATAACTATTACATTACTTGAAGTTTCCAATGTCACATTGTTCAAAGCCTATTTGCCGAACAAGGATACAATCATGACACCTTGCTCATCACAATTATTGTAAACAAGTATGGATCTTAGCATACTTCCGCATATTGGTCGAGATGATGGGCGTGTTCATCCTCAAATTAAGTATTCTAAAGAAGTTTGGACCTCAACAACATCCAAACAACCGTCTCGAGCGAGATGATTGGCATGCCTGCATATGTTGGGGACAACCTGAACAAATGTATTATCCAACAAGGATTCAATCATGACACCTTGTTCATCACATTTGTAAACTGAAAGTTGAACAACTATGGATCCCAACACACTTCCGCAACAAGCTTCCCGGATGGTCGTGCCTATCGTTACCCCAATTCCTCTAAAGAGGACTTAGTACCCCGGATCTCGTTGAACATCCAAACAACCGTCTGAGGCGAGAGGATGGACATGCTTGTGCAACTTAGGGATAACCTAAAGAATTATATTATCCAACGAGGATGCAATCATGACACCCGACTCATCACATTTCTGCACTTGAAGTTCAACAAGTAAGGATCCCAACACACTTCTGCACAGGGTTCCCGGATGGGTGGGCGTGCCTATCGTTATTTGTGTATGAACTTTAACAAGTATGGATCTCAGCACGCTTCACCATTTGGGATTCATTTATACAGTTTAACGAGTATGGATCTCCGCACACTTCCGCATGTGGTTAAGCCCTGGATGGGCGTGCCTACGTTGCTTAGACTGCAGTCAAAAATGAATTCGTTAAAAATAGGACACAATATAATGTTCTATTTTAACGAATAACATGTTGCTTTTTCTTTACTGAGAACACGAAGTTCCTTCAAATTGCACGAGGTCTCCACCGCTCTCTCCGGAAGGAAACGAAGCAGCCTTTGACCTCTCCTCGAAGGGAGAACCTGCCTTTCCACAACTCTCAAACTTGAACTTAACTCGGGACCCACCACCTTCCACACTCTACCAGCTCCCTCCTCAGACTCCACCCATGTGCCCACAGCATGACAAGGTAGGTTGGGCCTCCCTCCTCGACTGAGAAACGTCTTGGACAACTTCAAATTGTTGAAACAGGACATGCCAACGCATTGGGCTAATTTGCTGCTTACGCATACAGAGAATGCTGAGAGTGCCCATTTCTTGAGTAGGTGCGGCGGTGCTGCACTCTTGGTTTTGCACGAGACCCATTATCTAGTACACACACAGACACACACAGGATTGCAAGGTTGGTGTGAGTAAAGTCTACCACTTTTCTCAGGGGTATCGCTAACTCTGGGCTATGTGGTGAGTCCTTATCCATCAGTCAAATGCATCCTGGGCAGACTGTCGCAGGTTCAACCTCCTGATGAGTCGGTGAAAGTCGGACGAAAGTCTGGTACAGTCATGTTTCTTTTTTTGTGTATAGCGAATATGACAACACACACACACACACACACAGAGAGAGAGAGAGAGAGAGAGAGAGAGAGAGAGAGAGAGAGAGAGAGAGAGAGAGAGAGAGAGAGAGAGAGAGAGAGAGAGAGAGAGAGAGAGAGAGAGAGAGATTTTTCAGTAACTGGGGTACTGTTCGCCAAGTGTATGCGGCTCAGGGCCTAGGTCCACAAGATTCCAATGCATCTGGACATTATTGAGAATCTTGGCGCATGGCGGCTGGTCCACTCAATTTAGGCTTACTGTAGGCAAGCAGGTACCTAAGCAGCTCAGGCAATTTGGTAGTTCTACTTCCCTATTTATGTACTTTGTAGGTAAGCTCTGTAGCTCACTGTCACCACAATGGTATGTGCGATTGATCAAAAAAAAAAAGAAAAAAACAAAGAAAAGAAGAAGACATAAACGGGCCACCGACGGAGGACACCCCTGGTTACCACAGTCTTGCCAAGAATAGAATGGCCGGTCATTACATCTGCATTCAGTGCAGCTTCCAGTCCGGATACGGCATGTATTAACTAGCGTTCTATTCAGCGAAAGACGGCATCACCCCACCTGACAGCGAAGTGGCTGTTATTCGCTCACTCTGTTGTATAAGGGGGCAGGGGACCATCGTTAGGAATCGCTGGATTGAGAAGACGAACGTCAGGATCTGTGGGGCAGAGAACAGCGACGGCCCATTGTAAGGGAATTAGCGACTCCAGTTGGTCTTCTTGCGAAGCGCCTGCCTCCATCTTAGAGCAGCAGACGCCGAGTAGGAGAAACCAGGTGGGGAGGGTAAAACGGGAACGTTGGAACAGCCGAGTACCAACGAGGTGGAACGTCCTCGTTGCTGCCTACCAGAATTGATTTTCAGCATCTTCAACGTTTTTCCTTTGCTCCTCATTCGCATACGGATAGGAAGAGAGGGCCTAGAAAGACACAATTCTCTCTCTCTCTCTCTCTCTCTCTCTCTCTCTCTCTCTCTCTCTCTCTCTCTCCCTCTCTCTCTCTCTCTCTCTCTCCAGATCTCTTGAGTCAGGGACGAAGACGAAGAGAGGAGCGGGAACGACAGACGAGGAGGACATTTGGGAGAGGACATTGGCGCGCAGCGTAGGAGTGTGAGCAATTGTCGGAGTGTTTTGTCGTTTTGCTCCTGATTGTGAGACGAGGACGAGGAGAGAGAAGTTATACAGAGAGGCGAAGGAGGAGGAGGAGAGAGAGATCGAGCTGGTGAAGTCAGTGGCAATCATAATGGCGCACTCGTGGCATTCCATGGCGGCTGTGGCGGTCTGCCTGGCGATGGCGGTTCTTCTTCGGAACGATGTCGCGCATATCGATGCCCAAGACGTCCCGCCCGAAGTGAGCATTGATGGTGTCTCGTTCGAAGGCACCGGATGCGACGGAAGTAACCCTGTGCTCCCAGGAGGCCTCGCCCCTGATAAGAAGTCGGTCACTTTCAATTTCACGGTGATCTTAGGAGTCCGCCGCAAGAGCTACTGTTACATAAAACTGCAGCTGAAGTCGACGGACGGCTGGAAATTGGAGAGCGCAGAGACCATAGGGCGGGGATTCGCGGATCTTGACGCGGGTGTCGAGGGCAGCCATAGCCTGACGACGTCCATTTCTGGACTTACCCTCGACCCGAACGAGAGCAAGAAGATGACGGAGATACTTGGCCCTTTCACGGGTAACTATGAAGTGAACGAGAAGCTTTTTCGGCACAGTGAAGCGTGTACCGTGGAGAACGAAGTCAACATCAAGTCTCTTCTGGAAGTCAGGGGAACTGAGGGAGCCAAGGGAATCATGAGCGTCGAGGTGAAGATCAAGTGGGTCTGGGAGGCATGTTAAGGGTGAGAGAGAGAGAGAGAGAGAGAGAGAGAGAGAGAGAGAGAGAGAGAGAGAGAGAGAGAGAGAGAGAGAGATCCGGATCATGCCGGGATTGCTTTGAAGATTCATCCGCGAAAGTCGATACTGATCAAGGTCGTCAGTGTCCAGCAGTGCGGATCAGATCTCGTGCGAAGGAGATGGTGAGTGTTTCTTGTCGGGATTGGGATTGAGACTGTAACAAACTGTCAGAGAATTACGCACACTAGGGTCTTGACGTAATTGCAGGCCACATGCATCCAGACCATTGTGAAATTCGGGTCACATTCATCCGCGAAAGTGGATTCTCAAGATGTTTAAATCAAGTGTTCTCGTTGGGATCGGGGTTGGGGTTGTACAGTCTCATAGTACTACTCACACTAGTAGGGACTTTTTTGACAACTGCGCTCTGGACGTAATCGCGGACAGATACACGCAGATCATGGCGAAATCCCGGTCAGATTCTTCTTGGGGGG